CAACTCCCAGAAGACTGACTAATTATGATGGTCTGAAGGGCTCTTCCATAGAAGGGGAACAGGGATCAGCTGTCAGTCTGTTTAGAGAATTAAGCAATCACTAACTGCACCAGTTAGGAATCTGGAAAGAGTAAGAGTTAATCCCAGTGAAAGTCATGTAGCTCTTCAATGAGGTCACAGCAGTGGGAGTTGGGGGTCACAGAATGGATGGGTCTTCTGTGGATTTGATGTGGCCAATGAATAAAGGCAGAGGAACTCAGTACTAGGAGTCCCAGTTTGCAGCTTGGAAGCTGATTCAATGGCAGAGCAGTGGTGGATAGGAATCCCAGGAGAGCGCGGTTCTGGGTGGCAGGGCAGTAATTCACAGAATACCAAATTGCACTGTATCAAGGGAAGACAGGCAGATGCTTACGCGAGGTGGTGGCGTGCTCCAGGACAGCTGGACTAGCGTGGGAGCTGAGGAGGGGAGCAGAAGAGGCCGCAAAGATGGTGTTCAATGGGAGGAAGCAACTCCCTGTAGAAGAAAGCGGGTCAAAAGGGGCTGGCAGACAGATGGACACAGTCCAGAACCCTGGGGAATGCAAACACTGAGGGGCTGGGATGAAGGAAAAAGCCAAGGAACAAACAGAGAAGGTACAGAATCAGAGACAAGTGGAAGGAGCAGCAGAGCACGGTCAGCAGTGCCAGACTCTGCCAACGTGCAAGGGCTGGGAAGTAACACTGGATGGGCAGCAGGGAGCCATCTGGAACACTGATTAGAATATTCTCTAGAGCAAGATAGCAGAAGCCAGACTGTAGATGGCTGAGGTGGTGGTTAGGGTGTGGGTATGGGTCAGAAAACCCAGGAGGCCCCCTGCCCATGCTTTCAAGAAATTCAGCTGCAAAGGTAAGGGTCCAAGGATTGCTCCTGAATTTTATTTATCTGCAATTCTGAAAGCAATACATGATTATATTCTTGTTGCCAAAGGAAATGTAAATTACAGTAAAGACACAGAAAACAGAATCCCCTTGACTGTTATTACCCCAAACTTGACTTGACTGCTTTCCAGAGGTTACCACTGTGGCAGTTGCCAAGTGAATCCTTCTAGAACTCTTTGCTGTGTTATCCTACACTCAGTATGTCTTAGAGATTGCTGCATGTTCCAACGTGGAAGTAGATTTCATCCTTTTTAACTACTATATAGAGTTCCACAGTCCAGATCAACCATCATTTAGTTTCTGTTACCCAACTGGCAGACATTTGTTTCTGATTTCTCACATGATAAATAATGCACAGTGGATACTGTCCGTATTGTGTGTAGCTCTCTGTACACGTGTAAAGCATTAAGGAGCATAGATACTGGGAAGGTGAACGCTGGGTCATAAAGGTTGGTATGTTTTAAATTCTAATAGATAGGGCCAAAAATCCCAGGGAAGGTTTTTGAAAACTCTAGGGTTGGGGGTAACAGGGAGAGTAGAAAAGGAACAAAATGCCAGCAGGGCCACCTACACTCCCATCTCGGAGCCAGGAAATCCTCTGCTGCCCCCAACAAGGCCAGCACCTCGGCTCTCATTTCTGAAGGTCTTTGCCATAAGCACTGCCCCAGCAACCAGGGGTTTGTGGTGGGAATGGGACCCTCTGAATCCAAGAAAAAAATCTACACCTAACCTCAGAGGCAAAACCACCGCTATGGAGTTCTGGGCTTTGCTTTACTGGAAAATACGGTTATTGCCCCCATGCCCTCCCACAGATCACAAAGTCTAGTGGAGAACTTTGTGCTGTCCTGAGAGGAACAAGGCCAGCTGAAGGGCTTCCGTCAACACATAGCGTGGGGGTTGCTAAAAGAGGACTAAATGTCTAAATAGGGGAAGCTTTCTATTCACACCACTAATCGGACAGATGTGCTTATAGCTTAAGTGAGCCCCAAATCAGCTTTATTCTTGAATATGTGAATCTGGAATACAGAAGTGACATATTTTATGCAAATTCAACTGTGTGGATAAACATCTTCTATAAACAATTTTTGAACCTATACATGCTTAAGTTACTCTACAAGAAGATATGTCAAAGAAATAATCAATCTTCTCATGTTTTCTTCCATCTATTACTTCTATAGCTTTTCTTCTTCCTTCCTAATTACAACCCTTAAATAGAACT